AGCAAAAAGAGGGAGAAAGAAAAGCCAAGTGGTTCTAAGCCAGATCAAGCTCTAAAACAAGGTATGTGTGCCGTTTTTTATGTAGTTTTTGTTACCCTTGTTATTGTTGAGCTTGGTTGTGGATTTTAATAGTTTTTGGGAGCTTGAAACCCTAAGGGGGCATGCTGCACAAAATTGTTAAGGGTGAGGGAAGATGAAATTGATGTTAGAATAATGTTCAAGGGCCTGAATACAACACGAATCAAGTGGTTTTATGCTGAAGCTAGTTGAATTTCATGATTGTGTAACTTGAGTACTGTTTCAGCCAGACCTGGTTCTTATGCCTAGGTTGTGATTTTGATGATTTTGATGCTTCTAATGTGTTTAAAATGAAAAATTGTGTAGGGATAAGATGAAAGAATGAAGTTGGAAGCATTGGAATCAAAACTAGAAATTAAGTGGCAAATTTCGGTTTTGGCCTGGAACTAGGGGAAGGAGTTGGATTTTGATGAATCTAAGCTCATATTTGGATTCTTTGGGCAAAATTGTGTAGGATTGACCTAAGGTAACAATTTTTACAAAGCTAGAACACTACATTATAAATTAAGGAAAAAAGGATTAAGTTTAAGGACATAAGTCTTCCATATTGTGTAATTCTTGGTCCTAATGAGTAATATGACCCTTGTGACTGTGATTAGAACCTTGGGGCATCCAAGAGAAGGTTTAGATGTGGTTGAGCAAGCAACTTTAATGGTTGGAAATGAAAAAGAAGTAAGAAGAAAGCTTAAGGATACAAGGTAGCAAACTTTACCTTACTCTTATGTGCTTGGTATTTGCTTGCATGTATGACATGTTTCTATGTTATATGATTTTATGAACTCATGTGTGTTGTGATTGTGAATGTGTTTGAAATATGCCATAGGCCTATGTGTTTTATGATAAATACATGATGATTGCCAAACATGTCATTATGTTATAAAGATGTTAAGTTGCAAGCATGTTATAAATGCCAAGCTTGCCATGTATGTTTGAGTGGTTATTGTTTGCTACTGAGATTTTCTCGAATCTCACCCTCCCTTAACTAACCATAATAGGTGATATGATCAAGCAAATGATAGATGAAATGGAAGCAAGGAAAGAAGAAAAGATTTGGGAAAATTTATTGTATTACGTTGTACACCGTATATACCGATGTATGTTTTAAATGTGCCATTGATGGTATGTGATGATAAATGATGATGTTGGCTTATGTAATTAGCTATGATAATGTATGGGAATGGTTAGTGTATGAATGGAATGGTATTATGTATGGAAAGTTTTAATCATGAACTGTTAGTATAAGTTAGGGGATAAGCTATTCCTAATTGAGCAACAAAATAGTGACAGAGTAGAAGTATGACAAATGATTGACTCTACTCATGAAATTTTGCATGATTAAAGTACATACCCTGAGCTTTAAAACAAGTGGTAGATCATTTAAAACGGATGTGTGTGCTAAGAGTTATGATTGCTCAAAGTTGGACTGAAAAATCTGGAATTTAACCAGTAAATAGTAACCCGAGAATCAATCACAAAGTTCAATCTACAGGCTTATTTTGTGAATCGCTTGAACCGTAATGCTTCCAAATACATACTCTGAGGGGTTAAAGTAAGGATGTTTCAGTTTACCTGTCTTTCCCCACCTGGCTACCTCTTAATTATTATTCACCTCTAAATTGGTTTGGCCTTTTAGTATTCTAAAGGAAAAGCTTTTGAGTTTTAAAATTCTCAAGGGTTGTTAGTGTTTCTTCTTTATTCACATTCCACGCGTCTTTGGTCTTTTGGCGTAAAGCACTCCAAAAGCTCCTTCCAAGTCTCCAACTTAGATGTGTGACCTCTACTTTTATCCCCCCAACCAAAATAAAATTTAAAAATAAAAGGTTTGTTGAATAGCTTTTTACATGGGTATTAAATAGTTTAAAAAATTATCATATTATCTAATTTTTTTGGTAACATATTTAATTGAGATAATTACAATGAGATCCCAATAAAAGAAAATAACTATCAACATGTACCAATAACAAGTTAAAAGTTGTTATTTCTTACTCTAGAATTTATCATTACAAATTGCTTAAGTTGTTATTTGAGACTTATTAGTAATTATATTCCTGTCTTGGGACTTAATTGTGATTTCCCCTATTTAATTTTGAATTGACGTAGGTTTTTGCTTTTAGAAAAAGTTGTAATAAGATCCCATGCATCCAAGAAAATTCAATATAAAACGGTGCCTTAAAATTATCAAATAATTCTAAAGTCCCAAAGATCTCATTGCAAGAGTTTTTTTATTTGTTTGACTACCAATTTTTTCTTCTTTTTTTTTTAAGTATGCATTAATAACTGAAAGCGCAGTCATTAACAACTTAAGATGTAACGATTAACAAGTATTGTGGCAGGTGTTAACAACATATTTTTTCAGCACATTACAAAAATATAATGTGTAAGTTATCAATATCTGTCGTGATAGTTGTTAAATATTATATCTGAAGTTGTTAGCGATTTTATTTTCAGTTGTCAATATATACTTAAAAAAAAAAAAGAAGAGGAGGCAATAATAATTATTCCAAGAAGAAAAAAATTGGTTTACCTGTCCTTCCGCACCTGGCTACCTCTTAATTATTATTCACCTCTAAATTGGTTTGGCCTTTCAGTTTTCTAAAGGAAAAGCTTTGGAGTTTTAAAATTCTCAAGGGTTGTTAGTGTTTCTTCTTTATTCATATTTTCACGCGTCTTTGGTCTTTTGGTCTTTTGGTGTAAAGCACTCCAAAAGCTCCTTCCAAGTCTCCAACTTAGATGTCTGACCTCTAGTTTTATTTTTTCGCCCCTCCTCATTACAATTTAAAAATGAAAATATCTGTTAAATGCTTTTTACATTGGTATTAAATGGTTTAAGAAATCATCGTATTATCTAATTTTTTTGGTAACATATTTGATTAGGGGAATTACAGTGAGGTCCCAAGAAAAAAATAACTACCAACAAGTCCCAATAACAAGATGTTATTAGTCTAAAACTCATTATTACAAGCTACTTAAGTTGTTATTCTGACTTATTAGTAATTATATTTCTTTCTTGGGAATGAATTGCAATTCCCCCATTTAACTTGGAATTGACGCAGGTTTTTATTTTTAGGAAAAATTATAATAAGATCCCACCAAAGAAAATTTAATATAATAAGGTTCCTTAAAATTATCAAATAATTCTAAAGTTCCAAAGGATCTCATTGTAAGAGTTTTTTATTTGTTTAACTACCAATTGTTCTTTTTTCTTTTTTTAAGTATGCATTGAACATGGAAAGCACAGTCGTTAATAATTTAAGGTGTAACAATTAACAACTATCACGGTAGGTGTTAATAATATATTTTGTCAGTACATCACAAAAATATAATGTATGAGTCGTCAATATTTGCCGCGATAGTTATTAAATATTACACCTTAAATTGTTAATAACTACACTTTCAGTTGTTAATGCATAGTTTTAAAAAAAAGAAGAAGATAATTTGGTAATCAAACAAATAGAATTTATTGCAATGAGGGTCTTTGAGACTTCAGATTAATTTGATAATTTCAAGGGACCGTTTTGTATTTAATTTTCTTGGATGAGACCTTATTGCACTTTTTCCTTGAATGCAGGTCTCCAAAACCCGATGTCATGGGTTCAAATCCTACAAAGTGTGATTCCATTCTTGTTAGATCAAGAATGACACTGAAATAATGGGATAGAAGTTTAAAGTCTTAATTTTACCTCCCGTGGATTAGAATTAAAACAAAAAAAACGGAGGTCAATAAAAAAAAGTTAATTAATCAAAGGTCCAACTGATCACCACGTCGGAATTGTAAATATGCAGTTACAAATAATCCAGCCAGTATGACTTTTGATCCTTGAGCATGTCATATTGGTGATTCCCACTTATTAAACATCCACTTGGTCATCTCCCAGTCAAATTTTTTTAATGAGGAATTCAAATATGAACTTATATTTTTCAAAATCTCACTTCTTGTCACTCAATTCCTCAAGGCCGAGAGCCTTGTCTTTTCCCTTCAAAAATTGCAAGTTTTTCTCTAAACTTGATTCTTACCAATTTCCATGGTTCATAACTAGGTAAAAGTCCATATTCTTCTGGCCAAATCCTTATCTATCTGAATACTAATTTTTAAGAAAAATTTGGCTGCATTTTTTCTTAGAAACTAATATTTCTACAAGTTAGAACGCCATTATTTCAACCAATCTCATACTGAAATGTCAAACTCTTCCTTCTGGAAGAGTTACAGATTTGGACAGCAAGCTTAAGCACCCAGAACCTTGATGAAAAAATTATATATAAAACAAATTAAAATAAAGCTTTTTCTTATATTTTCTCCATCTACTAGCTCGTTCTTCCTCTCTTGCACTGATTCTCTGCCTTGTTTTCTGCTTCAAACTACTTCTCTCAAGAAATCAAAATCAAAAGAATGTCACTCTTGAGAAGCAGAGCAACTTTCATGAAGGGATTCCAACATGAATTTTTGGCTTGATTTTTCTTTTGCTTCCTTCTTTCTCTCTTAATTCTGCATGAAATTTCCAAAAACATTCTTCTCCCTATTTCAGCTGTGGCTGCATGAAAATCATGAAGATTTAATGGTCAAGGGAGCTTTAATTTAATAAAAATACAAAAATCATTTTGTAACTTAAATTATACTACAAAATGAGTCTTACATTTAGGATCGGAAGAGTATTAAACTATATTTAATAGAATTTGAAAGTCATTCCGCTCATGAGTCTCACTAGTTATGATTGCAATAACATTACCATCTACATTTTTTCCCTTATAAAATGAGGAAAGAAGGGGGACAAGAGGTCGTGGTGGGATCAAGAAGTGAGAAAAGGACTCGTGAACTGACAGGGTTCCCAGAAGCTCAATCCTTTCTTATATTATATCAAGCACCAAAACAAATGATCCCTTCTGAGTCATTATTTCGAGTCTTCATCAATTCATTCTTCTGAGCAAACCCACAGCTTGCACTATCTCAACAGTCCCACCATGGAAGTACCATGGAAATACCATGTCTTCTTGAGCTTTAGGGGAGAAGACACCCGCAACAGCTTCACAGGTCACTTACATGCTGCTCTTGAACGAAGAGGTATCATAACTTTCATAGATGATAAACTTAGGAAAGGAGAAGATATCTCCCAAGAACTCCTCCAGGCAATTGAAGGATCTCTGGTCTCCATTGTTATTCTTTCCCCAGACTATGCCTCTTCTTGTTGGTGTTTGGCTGAACTCCAAAAGATTCTTGAATCCAAGCGATCTTTGGGAAGAGAAGTTGTTCCGCTGTTCTTTAACATAGATCCATCTCATGTGAGGCATCAGAGAGGTACCATTGGAGATGCTTTTGAAAGCCACAGGGAGAGATTTGCTGATGACAAGGTGCAAGGATGGAGAGATGCTTTGCATGAAGTTGCAAATATATCTGGCTATGACTGCAACCATCGGCAAGTTTTATTTTGCAAAAATATTACAAACCATTTGTTTATATCTTGCTGGTTAAAATAGTTTCTACGGAGCTCTTTTTTTTTTTTAAAAAAAATGCCCATAATAAATTTAAATTATATAACTAATTTGAAGATATTAAGAAAATTAGTTTAGTTGGCTAGTTATAACAAATTAATGTGTGTTGACTTCCCTAAACTATTCTTTTTAATCATCTACATTGGAACTACCTCTCATGGGAATTAAGAACCCTTACAATTGATAAAAATATTTCAGAAAACAAAATTTATAAATTTGGAGGGACAAAATGGATTGAGTATGTTTACCCAGCTTTTATATTAAGGACGAGAAGCAGTTATTAAATTATTATGCTATTTTTATGTGACTGTTTTTTCTTTAATATATCCTTATCAAGCATTAATTACATCAATATGAAAAGCAATACTTAGAATACTTCTCATACAATTTTGTTATATATTTTGATTTTATGGGTACAAACAAAAATACTTTGAGCCAATATAATTTGAATTCGGGGGTGCTTGGTAACAAATTAAAGTATTAAAAAAAATGCTTTTACGTAAGTTGAGATAAAATTTCTTTCACATATTTATTTTGTATATCATAAAATTATTTTTATAACTATGATTTAGTTTTCACCTAAATACCTCCTTCATCTGAAAGCATAGAAATGCAACCTCCGTTATCTCTCACACACACACATATGTATTCATACAAAAGGGACAACTTGGAAAGACTTTATTTTATCAAATATAAGGTGCACATATATATTTAATGATATCTTTTCAAAAATCCCCTAAAAAAATATTTAAAACCATCGAATCAATTTCCACTGCCCATTTTCCCCTATATGCATGTGGATTGTCGAGTAATGCTGAGGAAAATTGGAAAATTTTTCAAACACTTTCAATAATGTTCAAAATTGATTTGTGCGTCATTGTACTTGTACCTGAAATTTGATATGGAAGAGGGTATTTTAGGTAACTCATACAGTATACATATAATTTTTATATAAAATACTCTAAAATATTTTAGAAGAAATATTTGGCCTCGCTGGTTAGGGGCTCGTTTGTTCAAGATTAAACAAATGTGATTGTAGTTCGGATAAACTTAAGAAAGTTAGAAATATAGTGAGAGTTGTGGGAACAAGAATTTAAACTAAATATATGAGCAATGTGTTTAAAAACTTACTTTGATATAACATATAAGAAAAACTAAAAATACTTCTTTTTTCTTTAAAAAAAAATTTCACGATTGTCTTAATGTCCTCCAAATGCCTCAAAGTGGTAAAAACTGAACTAAAATTACCTTTACACTTTCAGACAAATTAGCCTAGATGTCCTGGACCGGATGTTTAAATATACATACATATATCTATAAATATGAAGAAAAACTAATGATCAAGGCGTAAACTACTCTGAAAAAGCATAATTATATTTACAACTTTTAATCTCAAAATTTCTATTTCAACGATATATGCCCATTGTCGATATAAAAAAAAATTGTATTTGTTTTGGACAGACTAAAAGGCCGTTGATTATTCTTTTCCTCCTTGCAGGCATGAAGCGAAATTGATCGAGGAAATTGTTGCAGATGTATGGGCAAAACTACAACCTAAATTACCATATTGTTTCAACAATGAGCTCGTTGGCATTGAATCAAGAGTAGAAGAAGTTAATTCACTTTTAGGGATTGGATTAGCTGGTGTCCGCTTAATAGGAATATGGGGCATGCCTGGTATTGGAAAGACAACTCTTGCAAGAACTATCTATGAGAGGATATTTCGCGAATTTGACATTTGTTGTTTTCTTGCTAATATGAAAGAAAGCTCTGAAACAAATGGCTTCGTTGCTTTGCAAAGAAAACTTCTCTCCAAACTCAAGATAAAAGGCATGGAAGTTGATGATACATATGAAGGAAAGAATATAATAAGAAACATGCTATGCAACAAAAAAGTTCTAGTTGTCTTGGATGATGTAAGTGAAATAAACCAACTAGAAAACCTCTGTATAAAGCAAGCTTGTCTGGCTCCTGGGAGTAGAGTAATTGTTACAACTAAAAATAAGCATGTATTGATAGAGCATGGAGAATTTGAAATTTATGTGGCTGAATTGTTAAACAATGATGAATCTGTCCAGCTCTTCTGCAAGAAGGCTTTTAAAAGGGATGAACCTATAGAAGGTTATTGGAAGCTGTGTAAAGACATCATCCACTATGCTGGAGGTCTTCCTTTAACTCTTGAAGTGTTGGGTTCTTATTTTTGTAGAAGAAGTGAGCTTGAATGGAAAGAAGGTTTGGAGAAAATTAAAATGTTTCCACCAACCGATATTCTAAGGAGACTTAGAATCAGTTATGATGCATTGAGTGAAACGGAAAAGAAAATTTTTTTAGATGTTGCTTGTTGTTTCAAGGGAATGATCAAAGACCAAGTGACACAAATATTTGAAATATGTGGCGATCTTTATCCAATACTTGGAATACGAGAACTTGTTGAGAAATGCTTGCTAACAGAATATTGTTGCGGTCATGGTGCATGGCGTTTGGGTATGCATGATATCCTTCAAAAAATGGGCAAAAGTATTGTTGTAGAGGAATCACCTAATGATGCTGGCCGACGTAGCAGGCTATGGTCACTGGAAGATGTTGATCATGTGATGTCAAAAAACAAAGTAACTTCTATATAGAGACGTATTAAAATTTGTATTCATAAATAACATTCCTCATCCTTTGTTACCATATAATATTGAAATTTTAATGTTTTGTAGGGCACTGATTTGGTTGAAATTATTCATCTTCAATCACATATGCCATATGAAGCAAATTGGGACCCTGAGGTATTCTCTATGACGCGTAGCCTCACAATACTCATCATATTATGTGATGTGTACCTTCCTGGAGGTCTCAAATTTCTTCCCAGTTCATTAAAAATTCTTGAGTGGAAAGCATATCCTCTGAAATCCTTGCCTGATGGTGCTCATCTTGATGAACTTGTTCTCCTTAGAATGCATCATAGCAAGATCATACAACTATGGGGGAGAACACAAGTAAGAACTTCTGTTTTCTTGGCCTTACGAATAATATATCTTAATCTTTTTTCTTTGAAAACAAATCCATTTACGCGTTCCTTTTTTTTTTTTTGGTATAGATGTCAAAAAAGTTAAAGTTTATTGATTTAAGTTATTCTGAAGAATTCATAAGAACTCCTGATTTCTCCATGCTGCCCAATCTTGAGCAACTAATTCTTAAAGGTTGCGTAAGACTTTCTGAAGTTCACCCATCACTTGGACAACATACCAAAGTTGTTGTACTGGATTTGAATGATTGCAAGAATCTTAAAGCTCTTCCAATCAGAATGGAAATGGATTCATTAAAGAAATTGATCCTTTCTGGCTGCTTAAAAGTCAAAAAGCTTCCAGAATTTGGGGAAAACATGACCAAGTTGTTGGTTCTTGATGTGAAAAATTGCAAAAATCTTGTTTGCCTTCCAGGGTCCACTTGTAATTTGAAATCCCTGAAAGTTCTCAATATTTTAGGTTGCTCAAAATTTTCCTCATTGCCACAAAACATTGAAGAAAATAAGTTCTTGGAGGAGCTTGATTTGAGTGGAACTGCTATAAGGGAAATACCTTCATCCATTGTTAGCCTAAAAAATTTGAAGAAATTATATTCGAATGGATGTAATGGTCTAAGTTCAACATCCAGTTCATTAATAAGGAGCTTGCTTTCCCCAGTTCGCAGCGCATTGGGGTTTGATATTCATGAAGCTCCCACTGCATTGGTTTTGCCTCCTTGCATCTCACGTCTAGCATCGCTGAAGGAATTATTTTTGAGTAGATGCAATCTCAAAGTTGAATCAATTCCAAATGATCTTGGCTGCTTACCATCGTTAGAGGTCTTAGATCTTAGTGGAAATGACTTTAGCAACCTACCCGATGGCAGTTGTGTTCTTCCTCCTTCATTCTCAAGGCTTTCCTCATTGAACTCTTTGAATTTGTCTTACTGCAATCTCCGTGATGGATCAATTCCTGAGAATCTTAGTTGCTTGTCATCATTGACAAAACTTGGTCTAAGCCGTAACAAATTTACCCATCTTCCTGCTGGTTGTGTTGCTAATCTTTCACTCCTATCTCATCTGCATTTGAGTTATTGCCCAAAGCTCAAATACTTGCCAGCTCTTCCGCCAAACCTACTGACGATAGATACAGTTGCTTGTCATTCAATGCCACCATTAACTTTTTCAGAATTTCTATCAGTTCTGATTACAACTACTAATGAATTTTCGAAATCCTTTCCATCAAGGATTTTGGATAACATGGATTTCAAAGCTTGGTGGATCCAGAAGAGTGACGTCCCATCATGGTTCAACAATCAAGACTTTCAATTTCTTCTTAAAGTTGATGGTTTTCAAGACAATCATGTTGTTCAACTTTCTAAGATAGAATTCCCTTGTGATGAATTTGATCATTGTCATTCCAATGTGGTTGGTGGTTTTGTGCCATCTGATTCCATTGTGTCAATAAAAGTAGATGTCTCTCATCTTTGCGGCTCAAGTGCAAGGTGGGGTATTTCTCTTTGCATTGTTCTGCAAGATCTAGACGTTCCTTTATGTGCTGAAGATGTGTTCGTTCGAACACTTCGGCTGACTTACAAATTTTCACAAGATGAATTCTTCAAAAAGGAATCCTCATGGAGAATTGTTATGGGAAACAATCCCAATCAAATGCTGATGATTTATTTTCCTAGGAGTAATTTCAAAGTAATTGACTGTGGACAGATCGAATTCATATTTTATACGCAAAAATATAAGCGCATAAAGAAAGTGCAAGGGTTTGGGAAAGTTGGTCTGCAAAGTCAGAGTACGTTTGTGATAAGCAAGTGTGGGTGGCGCGTGATAAGCGAGGAAGATGTTGAAGAATGGCGCAGATCATCAATGAATGTATGCAGCACTAGTGGTAACAGTGAAATCCCTTCTCAGCATTCTCTTTATGCTTATGGAAAGAGAACCTGTGAAGTTGAAGAAATAGAAGAAGAAGAAGAAGAAGAAGAAGAAAACATAGTGACTAATGAGGAAGCCGAAATATTTTCTGCTAAACGAAGAAGAATGAAATGATTTATTTTAATAGGCAACTCACCATCACCCTTTATTTTCTCCAGAAACACACTCGCTCACACACACATACACATATATAATTGATTCGTTGTGTCTCAGGGTGCAAAGTTGAAGAATGCCAATTTGAATGTTGCAAACATTAAACGATGTAAGTAGATTCCTTATTAACATTTTGATTTGCTTTGACAATAACTTTAACTCCACAGAAGATGTTATGCATGACTGCTCTTTCATATTCTGGTTCATATTTCTGCACTGAGTTCTAAAATTTCAATATCAATACAAAGTGCAGAACATGCCAACTTGCCATTATCTGTTTGTTGGATTTTTTTCATGCAAGTTTATTTGCTTCATAGAATTTTGGCTGAAGATAACTAAAATTTGGAAGTTAGAATATTGTACATGTGTCATGACTGCTCCCCTTCCTGCTTCTTCAAGAATCCTTATGTGACAAAGGCAACCAATATACTCCTCCAATCCTTAATATAGGATCTAATTAGTGAGTTAATTTTGGTCTTAAATATAAGACCTATTTCTTATATTTATTAATTTTTTTCTAAATTATTCCTATTAATACTCCCTCAATTATTATCAAGGATGAGAGGAAGGAAGGATATTAAGAAAGTGGTTATGGTGTTTTGGAAAAAAAAATCATATTTCTTATAATTAACTAATTTACCTAACATTTTTAATTTAATCAGATTAGTTAAATAAGTCTTATATTAAAGACCGAAAAGAGTACCATGTGAGATTTTTTCATGTTTTCGTGCCAGATGCTCATGTCCTCTGTTTCTGAACCCCCCTCTCTATACGAGATTACTTTCGTTTGATCTGTCTGTTATATCTATGAGTTTGAAGCATGTCTTTCTCTTTTACATGGCAACAAGATTCCTTCGATTTTTTAACAGGAAGCCCGCTAATGAAAAGCTAAAACTGTGCCGACTATCACTATTCTGTACCTCCAACATCACCCGAAATAGCCTAATGTTTTTTTTTTTTCATCACTATTAAATAAATATTTTGTTTGCATGTTAGAATTTCATTATTAACATGATTGTAAAATTTACCTTTCAATCAACAATTATATGTAGTTTACATTATACTCCTCCGGTTCTTAATACAAAAGCTAATTAGAGATTTGATATTGGTCCAATATATAAGATCTATTTCGCAAGTTTATCAAAAAAAATTTCAAATCAACCCCATCGATATTCCTCAAATTTTTTCGCAAGTTTAGAAAAAATATATTACCCCTAGTCCTTAATATAAAAGCTCATTTGACTTTTATTTTGATCCTAATTATAAGATCTCAATCTACTTTGTCTCTCGTATTTATCTATTTTTTTCCCAAAGTAGTTCTTGTAATAATGGTAGTTTTAGCCAAAATATTTGATTAGTAAGGATATTTTAGAAAAGACAACACCTATTTATTACAAATAACTAACTTAACTTGTTTCTCTAATCTACTCAAATTAGTCAATTAGTTCTTATATTAAGAAAAGAAGGTAGTATCATATTAACTAATTTAACTAACATTCTTAATCTACTCAAATTAGTTAATTAGATCTTATATTAAGGACAAAAGGATCATATCGCTAAACAAAGCTAAGTGCCTATATGTTTGAGGCCTCTCTTTACCAAGCCTGTCAAATTTAAATGCCTTCCAATTTGTTTGCCCTGTTTTAAGTGCCATTTGCATTTTGCCAAGAAAAGGTTATGGTCCTTAAAGCTTCCATTTTGAAAAATTAATACTGCAAAGATGCTTCGAATTAAGTATATTCAGCAAGTCGTTCCCAATAGGAAAAATATTAAGTGGAGAGAACGTGAGAAGAGAGCATATCTGATCAGAGAGATGCCATATATAAAAGCTTCAAACCAGGATGAGAGATAAAGAAGAAGAAGAAAGAAGGAACCCGTAAGATTTCATACTTATGTCTGATACATATATAACTGTACGTGTAGTTAGAGTGAATGAGACCAGTGACATTGGTTGTAACATCTCTAATAAAAGAGAAGGAAAAATCTGAAACCATTGCGAAACAAGCTTCATACCAGCAAGAGTATTATGGTATTTTTATATATCCTAATTCAAAATCAAACTCTTTTGAGGAGAAAGGTAGTCTTTTCTTTCTTTTTTTTGGGTAAATTTTGGAAACTTACATAAATATAAGCCTTTTCTCTAGAACAAGGTAATTGTTGAATGATGATTAAGTACCACCATCTTCCACATAGCGATGTGCGTAGCAATTACTATTATATCAACCCTTCAATTCATCTTGCATCTCCCGGCAGCTTACAGCTATGTATAATTTTAGTTTCATTGAGCATTTTATTATTATTTTTAATTTAAAAGGTATTGATGACTTGAGATTAGGAAATCGAACTCATCATCCGCCACTTAAAAGAGAACTATAAGGCAGTTAGCATTCAGCGTATAATTTCATAATATTTGGTTTTGGGGAGCTTGTTCAATCGCTTGGAGCCACTTAAATCTTAAAGGTTACGTTACTCTTTCTATTAATGTATACTCTTCATTTCTTTGAGATCTTCTGCTTGTGATGGAAGACTTGGAGGCGTTGATGATGGATAATGAGTACATCTGGATTTTTATTTTAAGTTTTTCGCTGTTAGAATCGTGTTTTGATTCTGTTTCTATGATTTGGAAACTTGGGTTTTGAGTTTTAATTGAAGCAATGTGAACTAATTAAGAGAAGAACAATAGAGATTTCCCAGAGGGTTCTTGCGATACATGAATTTCTTCGGTTGTAATTAATGCATATGACAAAACCAAATGTTCTAATTTGTTTTTTCGGATATGAGTATGTTGCATTTTCATGCTCAAAGGTGTGGAATTTTGATGTGCCTGCTAAAACCCAAGTTTATTGCTACAAGGAAGTTTGAATTTGCAAAAATAATGGGATTGATATGTTGAGATGCCTTGTTGACATGGTTTTATAACTTTAGTTAGGAGCTTGTTTCATCATTTAAAATCACATAAAGCACTTGGGAGTGTTTGATTAATTAGAAGATTCTTATGGGGGAAGTTATGGGCTTAAAATCACCATATTGTGAGATGTTGTAGGTAGTTGGCAGTGTCTCCTCGCTTGGTACATGCTAAATGTCTTCTAGACTTGCTTTAATTGGTTGTTTGGTACCAATCGAGATTGGATTTAGCATGAGAGCGTTAAACTTGTGAAATTTATGTTATTTTATCACATTTTACTTTAGTTATTGCACTTTTTCGTAAATTAATGTATATCTAAAAATACTTATGAAAGAAAAATATGCACGATACTTGGGCTAAAGTTATGAATATTTGGTTAATTGTGAATATTTTGCCCCTATTTCATCAAATTTGACTTTCATATTTTGTCTTGCTTTGTAGGTAATTGAAGCTTGCTCATAGAGACATTTGAAGCAAATATTAATCCCTATGGAGTTGGAAAGAAGCTTAGGAAATCAAGACACAATGGAAAAAATCAAATAAATAAGGTATCCGAAACAGTGAGCTGTTGGCCTCTGCCAACAGAAGTCTTTGGCTTCAACCAACAAAGGAGGCAGAGAGAAATTGGCTGCAACCAAGAGAAATCTTGGCTACAACCAACACAAAATTACTAATACTCTGCGTTTTGAAGACAGCATACATCCTAGGGCTCCATATGCCATATAAATTGAAGGGATGCATCATTTTCACTCATTCTGGTCTTCTTGAGAACATTTGGGAGCTCTTTAGCATGCTAGGGCATGGATTTTAAAGTCTGGAAGAGATTTTGGCTCCATATATGTATTTTTTCATTGGATTTAGGAACATGTGTAGCTAACCCTTTGATTTTGAGATTATTTTGAACTTTTGTGTAGATTAGCTCTTGATTTCTCCTCTTATTTTGTGATTAATGATATATATACACTACTACAAAAAATACATATAACGATGCCATTTAACAGCAGTTATAAAGAAAATTACTATGGAAAAAAAAGGTGGTGGCATTTTTGAAATTAAGTCAAGTGATGATTCACTGTCCACAATGGCTATTAAGATAACTACCGTGGAAAGTTATTTTAACGGTGGTTATATATTATCACCACTGTTAAAATAACTCTCCACGATGGTTATCCTAATAACCGCCGTGGAAAGTTTGCAACTAAACCCTATCGTGCATTTTTGTTTTCATAGTTTCATAGTTACAGAGCACCATGGTTCCCATCTGTCCCCCCATCCAAGAGGAGCTTGACTAGTGATTACAAGAAGAAACAGAGAGAGTTCGAGCTTAACTTAGAGAAGAACATAAGGCGCATATGCAAAAGATATGTGAAGAGTTCGATGCCAAGTTTCAACAGGTTATGATAATGATAGGCACAACCAGATTCCAGATGCCTTAAGTGTTTGAATTGTCACAAGTAATAATCTATTTAAGTTTATTTAATGTGCCTTAAATAATTTCTTTCTATGTTTCAGGGTTCACCTATGATTAAAAGTGGGAAGGGCAGTAATAATCAAACAAAACAGCTGATAATGTCTGACCCTGACCCTAGCCCTGACCCTACCCAAGAAAATGGATTGCCATGTGCTCTCTATGTGAACTTTGAAGGTTTATCTCATCATGTCGCTGATGGTCAAGCATTCTTAGGCACAACAATCCATGGCAAAAAAGTTCTGAAGGATCAAATGAGGGTGACAGTAGATAAAGTTTGTAATAGTTAAGGTGGTACATCAGTGCCTAACCCTACTGATGAGGTTGGACTACTGGCCCAGGCTAAAGGAGTTTTCATTTTGTGGCCAAGAAGACTTGTTGGAAAGCCAGTAGCAACAGCAAAGAAAGCGATAGCCAAGAAGGCAACAAAGAGCGCAATTCCTATCCTCAAGCCTCTTGCTACCAATGTTGGGGTTATGTAAGGAGGTTTGGTGGTTCTTTTTACCATGGTGGAAAATATGGAGCAGCCACTTACTTTCAAAATGTCGCTGGGGGTTGTAGGTTCAAATTTAATGTATGACTTCACCATTGACAAGAAGAACTTCATTCAGTTCCTCAACTTCCATTGACAAGAAGAACTTCATTTAGTTCCTCAACTTTGAGGAGCTAGATATAGCCTTCATGTAGCCAATTATTTTATAAGTTACAATATTATTTTCTTATTTCATGTTTTACTTATGCATATCCTAGTGTGTCTTATTTGAACAATATGCACTT